TGCAGACCCTGCCCACGTTCAGTTCCCAGCTTTGGCTGTCACAGGTCTTGCCAACTCATGGCAGCCTGTGTTTTGACACGTCCCAGTCCCTGAGAAATGAGGCATTCGGCCCCAAGACTGCTTTCTTTTGTCTAGCACTGTGTAGCCCAGGGTGGCAATATGCTCTTCCAGGTGTTTCACTCTCCCCCTGTCCAGGGTTGGCTGGGGAGCTGGGTTGGTTTTTTGGGGGGGAAGAAGCTACCCTTGTGGGCTGCTCTCCCTGTGTGCTCAGTCTCTTGTGAAGGTCACTTCTCACCGTGCTGCTGGGGGTGAGGATTATTCCTCAACAGCATCTTGGCTGGGAGAAATGCCCACCTGGAGTTGAGTCCTCTCCTGCATTCCCTGGTTTAATCAGCTCTGGGTCATGCTGGTCACTGAGTGCTCAGTTGGGGCTCATTATTCCAAAGATGATGAGTTGGAGATTTGGGGAAGGGGGGGGAAAATACGTGTGTGTTTACATAATATGGATAAATTAGTTACCTTGGGAAGATTTGTTGTTGGGCTGATCTTTCCAGCATCATTCCCCCTGAACAGCCAGCTTGGAGGAGCACAGTGACCTGACAAAACCTCATCACTGATGGGTGCAGAAAACAGAGAAAAGGGCAAAATGTTTGCGTTTGGAAAGCTGAGGGAGAGAGGTGGTTGGGTTGTAGTCTGATACATCTGATAACAGGGCCTGTGTTGTAGCAGAAAAGCTAAACAGCCAGTCAGGGAACACTCAGGGAAGGTTTCTGTGGTTTTCCTGCTTGTCCGGCGGAATTTGCCGTGCCGTGGGGACGGGGGGAGCTGGGCAGTGCTGGTGTTTTGCTGCAAAGGGCAGCGTATCACATTCCTTCTCTGTTCTGCCCACTGAAAAGGCGTCTTGGCAGCCAGCTCCACCTCTTAGCTCTGTTTTCATCTTTAGGGGGGAGCTGAACGCTGAAATCTCCAACATCAGCGAGGAAATAACCTGCCAAAAGCAATGAAGTGCTGGGGGAAGAGGAGGTTTTCTTTGGGCAGTTAAAGCTGTTCCCTGTTGCCTGTTTTCCTTTGTTTGGCTTTGCAGCCCCAGAAATGGCCATGGCTGCTTTCTGCTGATCCTGCACTCGGGGAAGGGGCTGCTAAAATGAAATAACTTCGGGAGAGGGAGCAAAACTGCTCAAGGAACTGTGCCCAGCAGGAAAAGGAACCCACGGGATGCCAATAAGTCAGGTTCTACCCCTGCTCCAGTGGGCAACTTTTTGCTGTACTTACAGAGGAGGAGCACTATTAAATCTTCTCACTGGAACAGAATATGAAAAACCTACAAAAAATATCCCTTTTTTCTTTTGAAGACACGAGCAGGGAACTAGCAGTGGGTCAGGTTGTATCCTGTTATTCCTCATTTGATGAAAGCTGAGGTTACAATGGTCGCTCTGTTCTGCTGGGTTGAGTGGGACCCATTATTTACATTAATGTAAAGCAGATGCATCCCTGGTGCAGGGAGGGCTCGAGGAAGGAGCCACACACTGGTCAGGTCTCATTAGCTTAACCCAGGGATCTCATCCCTCTGTGAGTATCCTGTGCCCCTGAGGGGAAGCAGGACAGCGACAGGACAAGGGCTTTCTTGGCCGATGTAACATCTGTTCATTGAAAATAATGCAAAACAGGACTTTTTTGGCTCGATAGATGTGCAAATTATGATCAAAACTGATAGCAAGGCCAAACATTAGATGAAAGGTTCTTGGCTGCCTCAATTTGCCTGTCTCCTCTTCATTTGGCAACTGGTTACTCCTGCAAGTGAGACCTTCTCGACATGTAGCTCCCCCAGCACAAGTTCCTGGGTGTCCTGTGCTCTGTCACTGAGAGCTGGGGGGAGGTCCTGAGCCCCCAGATGTGGTTGGAGGACACCAACCCCATGGCTAGGGACAACTGCAGGTCTGTCCATCCTCCACCCTGGATGGGGAAGTGATACGTGTCCCCCCCAAAAAACCAGCTGTCTGAAATGTGTCCGGGGTCAGGCTGGAGCAGGAGGTGGTGGCTTCCCTTTGTTCCACCTCTGTGTGTGTGTCAGGACCCATGCTGAGCTTCAGACCCTCACTTTGGACACCAGAGGTGTTGGGATGGCAGTGGGAAAGGCAGGGGTTTGGCATGGAAGGAAGATAAGCCAAGGATCAGGAGGGGAAGGGGAAAAAGAGGGAGGTGATACCAGCTCCTGGCTCTGGAGAAAAGCTCTTCCCAAACAGGGTGAGGGACAAACAGGGACCCTGGGAGCCAGGCTGGCGGCTGCCTCTCGTGCTCTGGCTCTCATCAGAGCAGCACAGGCAATAGGGGACCTCAGCCTGCCTAAACTCTTCCAAATGTGATCTGTGCTCCAATAAAATAAACAGTTTAGGGAAAGCGAAGCCCCAGGCACACACTTTGGCAGCTGATCACTCCCTAATTGCAGGAAGAGAGTTGGGAGACGGGGTTTTTTTTATTTCTTTGGGCTGGTTTCTGATGAGAAAACTGGGCTGGAGGATCAGAGTTGAAACTTCTGTCCCCTCATCCCCCCACCCCCAAAAATCCCGTTTTCTTCCCCTTTGTATTAATGGAATTCAACTTATTTCAAGGAACAGGAAACACAAACAGCCCCTACAAAGCGTGAACCTCAAACCTTCGGCGAGAGCCTGTTCAGTTGGGTATGTGGAGTTCTCTGCAAACTTTTCCTGGGCTTTTTTTTGTTGTTGTTGTTGTTGTTTGATGGCACCAGGGGCAGGTTTGAGGGCTGGGAGAAGATTTTGGTGGGCAGAAGTAAACTGGAGCCTGACTGTGTGTGTTTCCACCACCCAAAAGCTCCCGGGGCTCCAGAGCAGGATGGAGATAATTAACAACAGCCCCTTTCATCTGCAAATAGACTCAGCGTGTCAAAACTCATTTTTCTCTAAAATCTGTGGTCAGGGGGACAGAGCAGGAGCAGCCACATGCCCCAACCCCACACTGGGGTCACATCCCGCCTGTTTCAGGGTCATTCCTTGCAAAAATAGGACAAAGCAGTAAAAAAGCCAAGGGAGGGGTGAAATTAAGGATTTCAGGGAACCATCCATCCTGCTTTTGCAGAAGGGGCTGGAGCCCCAGCCAGCACTGCCTTGTCATTCTCAATCCATCCCTGTGGATCTCCCATCCCTCACCACCTCAGCCCCTTCCTCTTGCCCCCTCCCACCCTTTTCTTTTTCCTCCTCTTCCTTTCAACTCACTGGTTGTTTTAAACGTCCTGGCAGCAAATTGTAATGTTTTTATGAGCAATTTACTGGTGATTTCTCTTCCTGTGGCCCCTTTCCTTTGGCCACTGAGGACTGCAATTCGATTCAAAGGTCCTTTTCCCAAGCAACCCAGAGCACATCAGCTTCCTATCTCCCTAGTGGGAAGTTGCTCATGTAAATCCACAGTGACTTGGGTATTTTTGTAGCTACTCAATCATAAAAGTCCCTTTCCAAGAGTCCTTTCAGCTTTTCTTTTATTTTCTCCTGTGTTAGAATTTAAACAAAATGTTGTTTGTTTTATTGCAAACTATCGTTTATTACAATGCAGACTTGAACAAATTCTTATTTTGGGCCAATTCTCTTCCAGGGGGTCATTTACAGAAGCAACAAGCCCGACATGTTTTCCTTTGAATTCTTGATTGTTTTTCTGTTGGCACTTGTGCAAATTGCCTTTTCTGCAAATGCAGGTTATTAATGGGGCGTCAGCTGCAGTTTCTTATTACGCTGGAGTAGAATTTGTTGAAAATACTCCAGCACAGTTTCTCTTTAGGGAAACGCAGGCTTGAGAGCAAAATTTGTCATACAAGGGGTGATACAAATACATTTTATTTTGAGGAGGACGAGGATAGAAAAATGGAGTACTCCAGCAGCAGTATATTTACATTTCTTTTTTGCAGTAAGTTAAATAGAGTTATAATTATAGCAAAGCACTTTGATGGATCCCAAGTGCTTATTTTTAGAATTTTGTTTAGCAGGAAATTAAAAACAAGTTGGGGGGGGGGGAAATCCCCATTCCTGTAACAAAGAAATGGTGGTTCTCAAACAGAGCAGGAGACTGTCACTTCACTCCGTGTCTGAATCCAGGCTCCTCCGGACCATGACAAGGAACTGGATGTGCCTCATGCAAATGAGAGCAGTTCTGCTGCTTAATTGCCCCTGCTGGAGATATTTATCAAGTTGCTTCTCCTGATAGCAGTGCTTCATTTTCCAAGAAGCTTGTTGCTTTTAAAGGTTTAATTAGGTCCTTTTACTAAATACCACAGAGGTTGTGACGCAGCAGCTGAGACGGGGGAGAGCTGCAGGGGAGGGTGGGCTGATGGTGGGGCTTGGCTTGGGGGGCATTTCCAAGGAATCATTGAATCATTGAGGCTGGAAAAGACCTCTAAGATCAGCGAGTCCAACCATTAACCCAGCACTGCCAAGCCCCCCCCAAACCACTCTCTGTGGGGTGACACTGTTGGATGACACTGCTCTGTGGGGTGACACTGCTCTCTTGGGTGACACTGTTGGGTGACACTGCTTCATGAGGTGACACTGCTCTCTGGTGGTTGGCTCTTCATCAGATGGGTGGAGGTGAAGGAGTTGAGGCTGGTGGAAAAGGTCAAAACTCATTCAGGGCTAAAAATCACTTCTTGATATTTGTATCATGAGCTTTTAGAATTTTACGCGGAGGCATCGCCCCATGAAGTAATGGGGGTTGGAAAAAGATGATCTTTAAGGTCCCCTCCAACCCAAACTGTTTGGTGATCCTATGAATTTAGTAAAGGAGTATAAATCACAGCTGCTTGGCTTTTATCATTATGATGGGAAGGATTTATTGATCAAGATCTTTCTGATACCATCAATCCTTCCCCTACCACCCCATGGCCAAAGCCACGAGACCTGTGTCAGTTCTCCTGGTGCACAGGATGCTCTTGGATGCCCAGAATTTACCCTTCCCATCAAATACCCCGTGCACTTATTGAGCTTTAGGCCTGGAGTAGAGGTGGAACAGGCCTTGGTGTGGAGCCAAAGAAAATGCAGTGGGATTTGGGAAGGGAAGCCATGTCAACACAGAGTTATTCCTGGAGGAGCCCATGAGCTTGGACATGCAGAGGAGGTCACTGGGAGCATCGTTCCCGGCGTGCCACGCTGGGGATCCTGCTGCAAGAGGAAAATTTAGGGGAAATTTTAGCATTCCCTCCAGGTTTGCTCTTCAGCTGCTTAAAAAAAATAAATAAATACTGTGCTGGGTTGTCCAAGAAACAGCCCAGTGTTTGGTTTCTCCTTGGCAATGGGAGATCCTGTTTGGGGATGTGATTCCCACAGAGCATTTCCCTGCAGGCACAGTTATTTTGTAAGTGGCCATAATAAAGTTAATTTTCACGTCAAACATCAGGGACAAAATGATGAGGAAACAGCCCCCTGAGATGAGCTCCAGGCTGACCAACCTGCCCTTCCTACCCCCCAAATCCGATGGCACTCACTGGAGAATTGGGCTGGGATTTTGGGAGGAGGGGAAGGACATTAACAAAGGGGGTGTCTAGACTTAATGACATGAAAACTGCAAACCTTAGCAAAACTGGGAAGGGTCTTGGAACAAGAAGAGATCAAAATAACTAATCCCCACTGGTACCTTCTCTCTTAACAGTAAAGACTTTGGAATTTTGAATGTATTTATTGATAAGCTCTAAAGGGGCTTTAAAGTTACATATTTTTATATTTATATATTTTAAAAATCCTCTTTACCCTGAATCTCTCTAAGGAGAGGAGTGAAATCTTTCCAAGCTGTTCATTTCTAAAGGCAGTGAGGAACAGAGACTTTAGACTGTGCTGTTAATAAACCTCTAAACCTTTCTGTGGTGGTAAACAAGGAGCTGAACGAGCTACTGAGTAACCACAGCCACACACAGACCCTGAGGTGTGTGTAAAACTGAAGGAGAGAAGTAAAAGCTGAGGATGAGCTGTGGTGGGGCCATTGTAGGAATCTCCTGTCTCTGAATTTTGGAGAATTTGGCAGCTCCAGTTCTGACCTGGGCTCTATCTGCATTATTCTGTGATCTGTCCCATCACATCTGTCACGTTTCGATGGTGAGTGTTGGGTTTTTGTAAAACAAAAGAAAGGAAAAGGAGAGGAAATTATTCAACCAGGCAGCATCAAAAAACTGCTAAAAGAGGTTTTTTAACTGCACTGGGGAAGCACAGCCCTGGCCTTGCTACTGGAATAAGTAGAAGTGTTTTTGCTCTGGGTCTGTGGTGCCTCTCCGTAGTTTAAATAAGGATCAGCTACAAAAGACACACTCAGGCACATACAGGTGTATTTTCACGTGCCCCCAGGTCCTGACACAGCCTTTGGACCAGCATTCCAAGCCCCCTGGGCATTGCTGTCCCACCACAGGCTGCTCACACAGCAAAGCAAAAGGGCCCCATTGGGGTGAATTGCAGAATTTCTGCAATTGCTCCCCAGAACACAGACCCAGCTAATTTTTTATTTTAATTTTTTTAAATCTTAACATGACTTTTGATATTCTCAGCCACAGCAGTGCCCTTCTGCCTCAGACCTCCCACAAAGCCCTTGATCCCAGTGATATCCCGTGGCTGGAATGGCAAGATTAATTTGAGCTCTGTGTACTCACTCCTTCCCTTTTATCCACTGGGAGTTTAGTCTTTCAGCATCAGTGGGTGTCCTCAGGTCCTGCACTAACAGAGATGAAAAAAGAGCAGTTCATTCTCATCTTCTCTGTTTTAGTCATCCTTATTATTATACAAATATTATATATATGTTATAGAATATAGGATATTCAACATATAATACATTATTATGTACACCTTAGCCAGATTCCTCATTTAAGCTAAATAATTATGTTTTCTGTCTCTGTTCCTCCTCTGAGGCTGGGGGGAGCTCGACCATTTAGTGAACATTATTTACTAACAGAGGACCTGCATTTGCAGCACTTGTTTGTATTTCTTCCCTCCATTTCCCAAATATCTATTCCAGTGTTTGACTGCCATCATTTGGAGCAGGGACTTTGAAAAAGCACTTATCTTTGATACCACCAGCATTTCAGGACAAGTCTTTCATCTCAGTATTTTACCTTTTTTTTTTTTTCTGGTGACTCATTATGTTCAATAATGTTTTGCTGGTATTTTCGTAAGTAGTTTTCTCACCAGGTATCCTATGAATTTCTTACTGTAATTCTTCACTCTATGAGGCTGCCTCTTCATTTTTCTTGAGCTATTCCCTTGCCCTGCAAGAAAGAGGCTCAACAGCCCAATTATCCTCCAGTACATGACACATTGGTGTCTCATGTCACGATTCGTGCAGCGCTTGAAAGAAATGTCATGAATTTTAAACCAAGAGGAAATCCCTTTCTTTTCATTCTGTTTGATCTAAACATCAATATTCCTGTTTATGGGATTTTTTTTTTTTCTGATCTGATTCCACACTGCATGTAAAATAGCTTTTAGTTGAGTGTGAGTGTGTATAAAGCAGCATCCTGCCAGTGTGTTATCAGGAGCTTAGTGCAGGGCTTTATTCCCAATCCTCTCATTACATTGGTCAAAACCCCAGCTGGGGGAAAAAAAAAAAAAAATCAGTGTTTTTCCCTATGGAATAACCTCATAAAACATCAGGATGAAACCAAGTGGGTGTAACTGATCCCCCACTAAAGCTCGTAGGGATTTGTAAGATCTTCCTCCAGAGATTTGGGGCCATTCTGTGGCCAACTTTATGGCAGGGCTACAAGTTGTTACAGCTGTTTGTTAACATAATATCCCCCTCATTTCCATGGGATGGCTCAGAATATCCACAGAACTGTTTGTCTTGAGTCATGTTTGGGGTTGGTTGGTTGGTTGGTTGGTTTCCCGAGGGACAGAAGGAACGTGGGCTGAGGCAGGAGAGCAAACCATCCCCCCAGGACAAGCCCAGGGCTGCTCTGACCTGGGGATTCAGGAGATTTCCTTTGATACATCAGCAGGGGGAAAAGTCCTAGTGAGAAATCCTCTTTTACTGGCTGGCAGAAATCATACACATACTCCAAGGGAAAAAAAAAAATCTGGAGCAGTATTGAAAGCAGCTCAAAACACACACACGAAAAAGAACTGCCCCAAAATTATCCCCATTCTCTTTTCATTATCTCCTTGGCTTTGCTGATTTAAAGCCACACCAGAAGTCCCACAAGATGATGGCAGACAGGCAGCATCACTCCAAGCAGGGGATATCCATGCTGGATAAAAGAAGGATCAACCCCTATTTTTTTAGCCATGCTATTAAATGGTTATCAGTTACACAGAGAGGTACTTTGTGCTTTATTTATATTTATTTATAGTGAGATCCCTCTATAAACAGCTGTGGTGCTCGAAGACTGCAGGACAAGAGTAATCTGGGTTTTTTAGGTGGGAAGGGCTTGCTACTGAGGCATCATCTTGGTTCCAGATGGGGCTGCTTCCAAAAAATTATGTGGCTGTACATATCACAGAGAAGTAGCTGCCAACACATGAACACCAAATTATTCTTTTTATAATAATAAATATACTTTTTCATTGATTTCTTTCCCAATGTTGGCAAAAAATTACCAGTACAGAGAAGCACCTCACATTAACAGCTGTTTTCTGCCCACATTCAGGTTAAATGAGACCTTGTAAAGGGCTAAGTATAGACTTTGTTGAATGACTGTGGGGGTGTGTTTGAGGTTTCAGCCAACCCAGCAAACCACAAACTGCCACTAACAGAAGTGCCACCACAGCAGAGAAATGTGTCCCCAAGGCACAGGAGAGTTTAATGAGAGCCCACATGTGTGGACATTATTGACCTGCCCACTGGAGCGTGGCCCCAGATCACTTAATAATAGCTTAGCACTGTAGGATCTGTCTTACATAAGGAAAAAAAAAACAAAATAACAACAAAAAAACCCCACAAACTAAACACCAAACCTCTTAAACAAGGAAAACCATTAAAACATCAGTTTTGTAACCTTTTTAAAAGCCTTCTAATTCTCCTACTATTGAGGACTGATCCCCCACCTAAGTTACTCCTGTCAGACCTTCAGGAGCTGTTTGCTCCTAGAAACTTTGAGCTATTTCGTAGTCTTAAAGCTTGTTTAACATAACTAACACTGTCTAAGTCAGGGCCCAACTCTTTGGGTGAGCAATGCTCAGATTCAGCCTGTCAATTTTGATTTAAAACCTGTGGCAGCTCAGGGTCCTGCCTTAGGCAAAGGGGATTTAGATCAGTTAGGTGACATAACTTTTCTCTCGCCAGTTTTAGGCTGGAAAGTTTTTTACCTGCATCTGCATGAAAAATAAAGGTTAAGTTAGAAGTTGCCCTGGCTTAGTCTGAGCTGCCAGAGTGAGGCTTTGCCCCTTGCAAAGCCAGGCTTAGCCCTGATGGAGGGTTTGATGGGCAGTGCTGAGCTCCCACAGCCCAGGGACTGACAGATGCTGTCCCAGCCCACGGCACAAGGGTGGACACAATGGACAGAACCTGCTGAGCTGCCCCACTCACTCACCTGGTGCTGTGTCCCAACATTTTCTTTGTGCCAGGGCTGCTGTCAGGATGATGGATCAGAATTACCCACAGGTCTCCCAGGTACTTAGGAGGTTAGTAAGAAATCAGTCGCTCATTTTAATGGTTCAGATATTGCCCAACTGCTGCACAAACCCACGTTTTTTAAGGATGAGGAATTAATTCATGCAGTGGCCATTTGGGCTTGTCCCATTCAAGCACTTTTTGGGAAGACTTGCTGTTTTCCTGGATCCCACAATGTCCCTTCGGCCTCTCCCTCCCACCTGGCTCCAGCCCACAGCAGTGACCACAGCCAGGACAAGCTTCTCTCTTCAGACATAAAATCCATGAGTAACACACACAGAGCAGATGAGCAGATTCTGGGGCATAAAGTAGGGGCTGGGGAGTGGGGAATTAATGTCCTTAAGTAGACTTTAGCAGTGCATAGCCTAGTTTAGGTGAAATTCAGGCATTTTGCTCACTGCATTACAGGCAGTCGGAGCAGGAAGGTTGCACTGGGCCATGTGAGCCTCTAAAGGGCTCAAAGATCTACAAAAAGAGCCTCAAAATTAGTTATTTCCTGTGGAGTATTCCCTGAAAACAAATAGTTCATGTGAAATGACTGTGATCCAAGGTGATCATCAAGGTGATCATCAAGGACTTTTGCACAGGAATTACATCCAGCTCCAATTTCAGTACCTGGTCCTGCCAAGGAGGCTCTGTGAAATCACCTCCCTTTCTGCCACAGCTAAAGTGCAAACTGGAACTGGGAAGAGAACCTGTTTTCCTAGTGTTTAGCCAAGCCTCTAGATGGAAGTTGCCTTTAATCCCAGCACTTATCTACATCCATTTCTTCCTTGTAATGAGATCTTCAAAGGAGGGGTAAGAACAATTTACTGCTAAACAGACCATAAAGGGTAATCCGGCATCACCAGGGGAACCCTAAAAGACATCTTTCACCTCTCCCAGCCTCCCCATCACAACCTGGTCAGGATTTGTGAGATGTTTCTGGTCTAAAAACAGTACCCAGGAGATTGTCTAAAAGGATAGCCTCTAAAAGGACAGCCTCCTTATTCCAGGGGTTTGCAGTGGCCCTAAGAAAGAACTCTGCACTCTTTCTGAATTATGGGTTTTGAACATGGTCTCCTTGTTTCTGGCCATTTTCTGTCAATTAACAGCCTTGAAATATCTCTCTGCTACACAACTGCACAGACACACTCCTGGCCTCTGCAGAATTGATTATCAGCCCCTGTTGAACATCCTACATGAATAACTCACGTTCTTGCTCTCTCCAGGAGCGGCCACGGAGCCCAAAGCGACGCCCCCACACAGAGACATCCCCTCACATTAACGTCCCTCTCCTTTCCTTCCTGCCACAGCTTGAAAGCCGTCCTGATGGGGAAGCCCCAGGACAACACCGTGGACTTGTCGGGCATCCCGCTGACGCTGAAGGACCTGGAGCGGGTGACGTCCTACCTGCAGCACAGCTCGGAGCACATCGACACGGTGGAGCTGTGCTTCACGGAGCTCACGGATGACATGCTGCTGCAGCTGCTGCCGGCGCTCTGCGGGCTCCCCCACCTCACCACCCTCTCCCTCAACGGCAACCGGCTCACCAAGGCCATCCTGCGGGACCTCACCGAGACCCTCAAGGACCCCAAGAAGTTCCCCAGCGTCACCTGGATCGACCTCGGCAACAACGTGGACATCTTCTCCTTGCCACAGCCCTTCCTGGTCAGCCTGAAGAGGCGGTGCCCGAAGCAAGGCAATTTGCCCACCATCCTGGAGTTTGGGGAGGGTCAGGTGAGCGATCTGGAGGATCAGGATGGCCTGGCTGAGAGCCAGGAGGACCTGCGAGCTGCACCAGGCAAGACTGACAGCACAGACTCGCAGCAGACGGACAGAACGGCCGAGGCCGGGGAGCTCCCAGACTCAGAACGAGGGGCTGGGACACCACAGACATGATGTCCAGCTCCGGGGCTCTTGGGTGAGTGTGCTGAGCAAGGATTACTTAAATCCAAGACCTCGGTGTTGGGGGTCCTGGCAGAGGGTTGGATCACACGGTGGGATCCTTTGGGGGCCCGGACTGCTGCCTCCCCCCTGTACCACGAATGTCGATGGTTTTCTTTTCAAAGAACAGGTAAAGGTGATCATGTTGAATATTTGTATTTTATAAAAGCTGCCCAGGTATTTTTGA